TAATGATAGTATATCCTTTTATTAAAAACAAACAATAAACATTACATTGGCACAAAGCCCAGAGCAGGGTTACCTCAACATTTTTTCAACTTAGAGTTTAAGCTCCTTAATTTAATTAAAGGCCTCTCCCTCCTCTGTTTTAAACAAATGAGGTGATGCCCTGGCAGTACAAATGGGACTGGAATAGCTGGACATCTCTGCTCTGTGTGATGTTGAGGACGACTACTATAGAACAGACGCCAGCCTTTTGTGGCTGCTACTGTTGATTCTGCTGCTGCTTGCATTAGCCTTAGCAAAGGGAGAGCTCAGGGTAAAAAGAGAGTAAGTCTGCATGAAAGGAACTGTGGGTTTACCGCATGGCTGGATGTATTTAACATTTAAATGGTTCAAAACTAGCAAAAACTATTGGAAAGCTGCAGACTTATAAATAACACTGCAACTGGTTACAATAAAAATACAAAACAGATGAGGCGCTGAGCTGTGAGGAGCTGTAGCCATGTTAAAGTGCAGTCTTTGTCTCCATCGGAGCTGGGACAGATTGTTGAGGGGTTTAGTCTGAGACCCTCAGAGAGAAGAGTCTGAGGGCCATAGACCACAGTGATGACTGACACTTGATACACAAAGCACTGTGCTGTGGTCAGAGAGCCACTGCCTTCAACTTTCCACATACCAGGTGTGTGATATAACCAGATCCAGTTCAGCACATTATCAAACATAAGTGGCTGTTTAGGGTCCTGCAGCTGTTAAAGCTTCCAGTGATGAAAATTTTAAACATAGGCAATCATATACTTTCCAGTATGAAGGAATCATGGATGAGATTTTACCAATAGTTTAGAGAAGCAGTTACCGATGTCAGATTTTGCAGAAAGGGCCAAACATGTCATTTACTGTATATACATATATGGCCAAAAAATAACCAGACTATTATATGACTTTAAGTTGGCAATGGTAATTTTTGGAAGGAATAACGTGTGTCATGCCTGCCAGCTGCCTGAAAGAAATGAAGCCGCTTTCTCTTTAAACAATCATTCTGATGTCAAAATGTTTTGACGAGCAAACATGCCAACTTAATCTGTACTCGTATCATCTGGTTTACCTTGTTCCTTTTTTCAACATGGAGTCAGATCATTTAGTTCCCAAAATCAACTACAAAAAAACCCACAATTGGTAAATGAATTCCAGTATAACTAATAATTTCATATTATGTTTTAAATAATTAATTAGATTATATGAAAAATGAACATGTTTTGGACTTTGGCCTAAAGTCAAAGTAACGTGCAAGAAAACCTGGTATATTTATTTCCATCAAGGAATTTAAAGCATATAGGACTGAGAAAGAAGTATGTTGATGATGACTTAGCCTCTCTTCACCTTGGCTGAACTCCTTGGAGCAACAGCATAGTCAAGTTTTTCAGATCCAAACACATATGGTATCTATTGTGAGGTGCATCAATTTCTTATGATGTTAAACTTTAAAATCATCTAGATCATTACACATCTCAAGCTGACTCAACAAACTGAGCCATCTCCAAAAACTGCACGCTGATCTGCACCCCAGTCTTCCTTATTCTCCTGTTTGTTTGCCTTTGATCTCTACTTGTATTTGAACAATCTCAGGCCATATGGCTTTGCCTATAGCCTGGAGCTATTTACAAAGGAGAGAGTGAAGGAGTGTTAGGATTGGCAATGTGTTGCCTAAATATAGGGCAGGAGTAGGCACAATGCACAGGGCCGTCCGCCACCCGCCTCTGCCCAGAACACACCCTGTGGGCAGAGCAGCAGGCCTCCGGCACATGTTCTGTGGCCGGCCAGATTAAAGCTCTCTTTACAACATTGACAAGGGCTCTTCTGGGTTCCCTCGCCCAAAAAGTTGCACTGACTCCGCTATCTTTCCTCTTTCTACTTCTCTTTCTTCCTCAATAACTTACAACTTTACTGGAGTGGCTCGTGACTTCACTGGGCAGCCATGTGCAACTCCACAAAATGCATCCTTTTCCAAACTTTAAAGACAAAAGACTGCACAGGCAGGGCAGATGAGATTATTGTGGGTGGCAGTTTTCCACTACAGCTCAGAGTGCATTGCTATAATTTTAGTTGTGGGGTGGAGAGCTGCATGCTGAAGTCATTTGAGGGAGGGACCAGTTGCTTGCCAGCGGTCGTGGTCAGAGTGGGAGGGGAATAATGTGTACTGTTACATCTTTTGTTTCCTGTCTCTTTATCTGTACCTCCTCACAGCTGCTTGAATTTTCTGTATTCTTTGTGTTCAAAGTCTTTCATCATTACCTTGTACTGTACATTATAAACATATTTTATATCGGCCATATACTCCCTCTCTTTTCCTGGCAGGATGGCCAGCTACTAAGATACTGCATGTCCTTTGCTACTTCTCTATGTCAGAGTGATCAGTAAAAATTTAATGACACTATAAAATAATAAAAGTGCCATTAATTTATCACAGCACTTGATGCGTGGGCAGTAAAGAAGCATTAGTTCACTGAATATTTTCAAGCCTTAAAACAAAACCCTGATGCTGTGCAGATAATTTATGGCCCTAATTTCAACTATAATTCTAATTTGCATATATAAATCACCAAACTTATAACCAATAAGTATATTAAGCGCAGTATATAAAATTTTATGAAAATTTGTGGGACCATATTGCTCAGATAGTGAGATATTAATTAGCATAGCTAACACAAGGAAGGGAGGACTACTTACTGTAACTACCACTCTATATCAAGTATGTAAAATGCCAGCTTGTACAAAGTATATGTCTGTTTTCTACATAACCACATAAAAACCACATGATCCTTTTTGTATCCAAGCAAGTCAAGCTACCTCAAGGAATCCTCCAACAAGAGCCTCATTCAGTCTTGTTCACAGCTGTCTAATGCGCTGATGTTCACTAATCATATGACTTTGTGCGGTGGAGAAAGAAGTTCAACACTGAGCTAGTTATTAATGAAATTCATTGATGGATGGCCCCTGTTCTCTCTGCTTCTCAGCCCAACATGATGCTTAATGATCATGAGTATATAAAAGGACTTGATTGATCAGGAGGGACTAACGAAGCGCAGAAGAGGGACGAGATGACTACTTTATTACAGACATACAGTACCCATGAACACTGTGTCTTCTTAGTGGAATGTCCAAGTAGCATCTGAAGCAGCACCGTTGCCCATCCAGCTAATCGCACATCAGTCACTTTGTCATCGGGCTGCTAGCTTCTTTCATTAAGAGCAATAATGTTGCTGGGTGATGAATACAGCTCTGTGTGCGTGTGCATGTTGCATGCTCGCGCATGTGTTGCTTAACGCAGAATGTGACACTAAAAAAGGCACCATACTCCATCTTCTATTTACAAAGCGTCCTCTTGCCCAGCAGGGACTAACACATATGTCATAATTAGAAAACACTTAAGTAAGCAAAGGGCCGTCAGATAGACAGGCTCTAATCACAGGCCATAAGCAGGTAGTGGTTAATTGTATATCAGAATCACTCAGCTGGCCATAAATAATGACTGCTCCTTCAAGTATGATGGTAAATTGCAGTCCTCTTTCTGTCTCTCTCGCAGTCATTTCTTTTGAGGAATAGTTCTTGAATAAATAAAAGCATGAGGAAAATCAAAATACTGTGAAAGGCCTCAAATGGACTTGAACTATCTGCATCCTGTCATCTTTTTTAACCCTCAAGTAAAAGAAGTTATACAAAAGAAAAAATATAGAGAGAGATTTCTTTCTCTTTTTTGTAATAACTGATGGATATTGTTGCTGTTGCGAATTATTTTATTTGACAGGTAAAAACAATTAAACAAATCAAATTCAGCCATAAACATTTTTATTTTCACTCACAACAGTTACTGCTGCTCAGTTTTTTAGCACCTTCACCTATTTGTGGAAACAACTCCGCTGTGGGCGGAAAAGTGAGGAAACTACAAAATGGTACAATGCATTACAAAAAAGGAGCTAAAAGATTAATGTGTGTGTTGGTGTCAGTGTGTGTGGCAGGGGAGCTGTTAGTATTGTGTTGGGACTCTACCTGAGTATCTGTTCAGACTGCTTGTGATAGGCATGTTTAGAAAAGAAAGAGGCAGAGGTCAGTGCAGACAGTACATCTTTGGCAGAGACTGAATGCTCACCCTGGGAGTAAAACAAATGCTTTTTTTCTGAATGGTGGCAACATGCCTGCTTTTAGTGTCATCCAGGCGAAACCTAGGGGGGGAGAGATTATTTGTATCATGCAGAGTCAAAGTGTCCATCTCCTAGTTGAGTCTTTAGAGAGGAAGACAGCCCTTTGCTAATGCCCTGTGTATTCACTGAGGAAGTAGGTCATTCAACAATGGAGCCAGCAGCAGTCGGCACTCTCCCCTTGCATAATACATTAAGTGTAATGTGCAGCAACTATTCAGAGGCCCCCCGAAAGCTGTTATTTTATTCTGTAAATGCACATGGACATGACATTTAATATTGTCACGGAGTGCTGAATGACAGGGTTTCATTGTGCGTCAAGTACAACATGATGCCAAGTTTAATCTGAGCACAAAGCGACATGACAAACGGGAAAACACGGTGTGTTCTCCAAAGCATGAACTCTGAATAAATGATGGGCGCTGAGCTCTGGGCACTGTAGACTGCAAGGGAGGATGTAAGGAGAAGATTACAGAGGAAAATCTGAGCACTGCAAAGAGGGCCACGGCCCCATTGTGTGCTTGGGATCACAAAGTATCCTTCTGTAAATCTATTTACAGCACCCCTGGCCCTCACTGTCTCTCTGCCTCCTGTCATCCATTATAGCAGCTGCTGAATAGAGAGATGAGAGAGGAAAAAGCTACATCTAGCTCATGTCAAAAGAGCAGCTCTTCAAAAGAACCTCCATTTATCAAAGACACTTTTTTCTTTTCAAAATTTCAGACTCTTGATGGGGTTATTTTTACAATTCTATCACTGTAAAACGTGTCTATGTGCTTGTTCGTGTACCTGACTGTTTGTATTTCCCTTTAGGAGAGGGCGCATTTTGAGAGCATCGGGCACCACCTCGGCAAACTGGGTGAGGAAGGAAAGATCGGCCACAGAGTTATTGACCTCACCAGGCCAGAGGATCTAGATGGTAAGGCCATATTTCACACTCTCTTTTCTTTTTTTGTTTTTATCACACATAATTGTAATTGCTTGTACATCAGATGATTTTATGTTTCCTAATAATCCTCACAAATTTACAAAAAGTTACTGTGAATTCTGTGCTAAAAAGTTAATGACATAAAGTGGATTGGCTATACGCTGATTCTGTACTTTAAAATGAAAAAGGAGTTCTGATGGCTGATGAAGCCTGTTACTGCATGTGTCTCAGTTTTAGAAGGTAGAGTGGTTTGTAAGGGTGTGTGCAGAAACATGTGTGTTTGTGTAAAGGAGTTGTGGGGGCTGGGGTGAATGCTGTTTGAAATGAGCCGTGGCTCAGAGGTTTTCACAGGTAGGTGAGTGGAGGACAAGGGTGCCTGAGGACAAAGCTGGCTTTTTTCCAAGCTCGGCTCCTGTTGCTGTTGTGCTTGTTTGAGGTCCTGGGCACACGGGTGTAAATTCGGGTTACACCAGTGTGACAAAGCGTCATCTCCCTTTGTGGCGCTGATTCCTACACAGGAGCAAGGAGCACCTCAGTGCACTAATGTTTGTCCGACATAAATATTTGTGGCAGTTTCCATGGCACTTCAGAGACAGAGCAAAGAGGAAAATGTTTCTGACTCATCTTTGATGCCTCGAAGAGTCTCAAGGCAGAAGGATAGATATTTCTCAGGACAATGTAACCCATCTACATCTTTAAATAGCATCTTAGACACATTTCCCATCACTTTTAGAAATAAATGCTCCTGCATAATTGGTTCACATAGACTTTTAAAGAAAAATGTTTTTTTTTACTTCCCATAAAAATTTTGGTTACCAACTCCAAAGCAAAAGTCTTTTTTTAATCATGTCTAGTTTCACATCACACCCAATCCTGGTTGTGAATTAGAGGTACATTTAGTGGATTCATTGACATGTTTCCCATACGAGCCACAGCAGGAGATCCCATCCCCACCCGTCTGACTCCTCGGACAGATGTGCTTCCACTGCTCATTCTCCCAGTGGGAACCTTCTCTCTGTGGCTACTGTGGAGTCAGGAACGAAACAGAGCGCACACCAGGGCAGTTGTGTCCTTTTAAGTCCTGCACAGGGCCGAGGGAAAGGCTTGTGCCAGACGCCTCACATCAGTGTTCCCAGTGGGCTATGGATTAGGAGCAAGCAGAGGTTAGAGGAGAGGAGAGGTCCTCTTCCCAGGGGGAAATGGCTGGGAGCCAGGGCAGCACACATAACTCAAAACACACAGTTACCATTTCTTCTCTTCCACCACAAATATATCTGTCTGTGTCTTTCAGCTTCACCAACAGGAAAACACATACGGCTGAGTGATGTGAAGCAGGGTTTTATGATGTGAACCACAAAGTGTTTACTCTTCTGAGGACATGTTTACTTTTGAAATCCTTGTTGCAAGGATTTTCTACTCCCTGAACCAATTGAGGCTTGGTTCCCTAGCACACCTTAATACACAGAAACATACATCTATAAAAAGTGCAGCTTATTGTTGCTATTTGCTGATTTTCCTGTCAAAAGCCACTTAGAATGGCATTTGAAACTATATTTCAACAGGTAGATGGATCTGCTTCACATTAAAATATAAAAAATTGTATTCTTTTGAAACAATTCAGAAGGATAAAAGACGTCTAAAAGATGTTTAATTTTCAACCACAAATAGCCCAGTCTTTTGACCTGCATATCTTACAAATCTATGCTGGCAAAATACAGAAATTCATTCAGAAAGTCATAAATGTAACACACAAGGCTTATACTTTGGTTGTTCCCTGAAAAGGAAAATTACTGGGTGTACCTCCTAACCCTTACATAGGGTGTGAAAGACCCTTGGTGTGTAGCAGCTTTCCCTCCAGAACAGAGCAGCCACATTGAGCAGGCCCAGTGTACAGCAGAGTTCTGTCATCACAGCAGTTCACAGAAAGCTTTAGGTTGCTTGAGCTAATATTTGCGAAGCATGCGGCAACCAAAGTCCTAACGACTTGGAAAAAAGTGGCAAAGGAATGGAAATAGATAGGATTTCCTTCATTTTTATAAAGCCACACACACACAAACCCGCTGCAACTTCATTAGGTCTTTTTAAGCTCTGATGAAAACATTACCAAATACCACAAAGGCCTCAGCCCAGCCATGCCCTTTGTTCATTCACATATGGTAGTATGGAGTTGCTGTGTAGCTGAGGTTGTGTGTTTGTCTAAACTGCCCACCCCCCAAACACTGAAGGTCTGCAGAGAACAAAGAAGTTGTTGAGAGATGTGTGGAGGCAGGAAACAGAATTAATCTAAAACGCCCAGTGTGATAATATCAACCACAGAGTGAGAAAAGACAAGGCTTTAGCCGAACAGTGCGTCTCCTCATGGAATAGAATGTGTAGAACAGTAGTGTTGTATTATTGTTACAAATCATTGGTGATGGGTTTCTTTACATCGGTAGCTCTGAGCTGTAATGAAGTTTTATACGAGTTGATTGTTTGAAGAGGTTTATGTTGTTGTTTTTCTTCCACTGTGAGGCCGTGGGAATGTCTTGCTGGCTTTTATTGCTGAGGAGTTTTCCTAGAAGAAAGCTTAGATGCAGAGGCTCAGACATAATGATTTATCATGTCAGAACAACAATAGCTGAATAGGTCTCCCTGATCAATAAAAAAAGTTATGTTTGGAAGTTTGCAAATTCAAATTCATCCTCAATATGACACATTTCTGTGTGTTTCCGTGTCTCCGTGTTTGCATGCATCTCCTTTTCTGTGTGCAAAGCTGGGATGTTGTGAAAGATTAGACTCCACTTTTAGGCTAAATGCATAATGAGAGGGGATAGAGAAGACAAAAGTAAAAGCCATAGTCTACGTGTTGAAACAGGTTGGCTGTTTGTGCCCAAGTTCCCACTGCGTATACACACGCACACACACTAACACACACACAAGTGCGCCACAAAACTCAAATCACTGGAAAAGAAAAAAAGGACTGACATGTTATAATAGGGCTTATATCACTTGTAATTTGTTATGGTTTAATTAGCGTGCTATGAGCTCAGGCTACAGCAGGGGCACTGAGCCCTATGTCCTGTCTAGCCTGATCCTGCTCGGAGGGAGAGGCTCTATTGTCAGCCGTAAATGCCTTCAGTCAGAGGTCTTAGATTTGATCCCAACAGGGAGGGCTTGGCAGGTTTGTGTGATTGTTGCCTGCTCACTGAGGCTCATCCTCTTGAGCGGATTCCTGGGTGACATTATGTGTCTGCCCGCAGAACAAAGATGAGTAAGGAGGAGAAAAGGGGGGAGGAGAGGGGACGGCTGGGGCAGTGCAACCCTCTGGCTTGGTACATGGTCGAGTCTGAGCCTGCAGCTCACAGGTGTGATAGTCTTTTGGGCCTCGCTACATTCTCTCTCTATTTCTCCCCCTTTTTCTACTTCATCCTTATCCACACTCTCACTTCCTCATTTTTTATAACCACCCCGCCCTCCCTCATACACACACACACACACACACACACACACACACACACACCCACACCCACACCCACACACACACACACACACACACACACACACACACACACACACACCCACACACACAATCATTCTTTTTCACTGTAATTCATGCTGCTCATCTGCAGTGTTTCCAGGAGAGACAAATTAAAAGGGTATTCTCATATCGCTCTGTCACACTTGAGCTGCGGGCCTCATGAATCACAATAAATTCTATTAAGCAGCACTCCCTCTGTTTCGCTCCCTTCCCAGCTACCACCCAGGGGGCCTGCCCCTGTCATTGCTAAACATCTGTGTTTATTTACACAATCACACACCTAACTAACTGATTCCTAGATGTCCTGCACCTCCTGGAAAAACATTTTTAATGCTCATTTGCAAAATGTCAGAGCAGTGTCACCATTTTCAATGAAAAGACAGAAACAATGTAGCAGTAAATTGCATGTTGCAGTTTCTAGGGATTTACTTAGATTGACTGCTAATGTGCAGGGTGTCTCTGATTAAGACATATATATTACAGGGGCTGAATAAGGGGCCAAATTTATCTACCCACGGGGGCTTGCAAGGTCTTATATTGTAGAAAGCCACTCTCCCAACTCTGTACTATAATGTTTGTACTCTAATCAGACAGACAGCAAAGACTTATAATAATATTATTTCAGGTCAAAGGTCAAACTCTCTGTTAGGCTGTTGGTTTCCCTAAGGTAGCCTTAGGTCTGAGTCAGCTTGATACCTTCATCACTTTGTTTTATACAAATCCAGGCCCGCAGCACCTGCCTCAGTATGGGTGAAGATGATGTAACACTTGTTCATCTCAACAACGCTCTGTAGCATCAGACAGAAGACAGGCGCTTTTCTATGTGCCATCATGTGAGCTAAAAACCATGCCTCATCTGGCTTCCCTCCAATGAACCAAGTCACGTGGCTGGTTTCCTGGCTAACTATGGATGTGGCACTAGCTGATGGCAGGCGCTTGTTTTGTCCCCCTCCCTGTAAGAAGCTCACCTCTGCCCGTATGCATGCACACCAGTATATAAATTGCTGAATCAGTGTCAGTGATAGAGTAATGGCACGGGAGGCATCGTAAATTACAGCAAGCGATCCCGGGGCGCAGACACTGGCTGTCGTGTCTGAGTGAGCGCTACGCTCCTGAGCTAATGAATACCTTCATCTGGCCCCGGCAGTCAGCAGATTGCCCCGCGTTGATGGATACTGTCAGCCCTCCGCCACACCACATTTCATTGCACAATAAACATGGTTGTCAAAACCAAACAAAGTGAAATCAATTCATCCTGTACAGTGAGTGCATGCTAAATGAAATTAACGTACTGTGGGGTTCGGTGGCAGCAAAGGTAGTGTATTATTTCTGAATTCATGATGGCTTTAGGGCCTGTGGCATTCTAGGAGGCAGAAGCAAACACACAGAACAAGAGATGGTCCTTGCAGAGTTTGAAAAAGTGACACAGAACCCCTCTTACATGTTCTGATTTAGTATTTTGACGTATGTGTGTATATTTATATGAACGTACTGGCAGGTTGTGTAAGCCATATTATTAAAGAGAGAGATTAAGCAAAAGCAAGGGTTTTTTGACTGAAGATGATAGTAAATTCTCAGAAGAAAGGTCATAATTTGGTGAAAAACGTTATACTTACTATTTGAAAATCAGTTACACAAAATGATGGCAATCTAATCTTAATTTTTATGCATGGTCCTAAATAAAGGTAGTATATTGATTTCAATCTCTATTTTAGAGATATTAACATTAAGAGCTTTTGTTTTTGCCCCCACAATGTAAATAAAATATATTTATATATTTATTTTATATATTCAAACAGGATTTTGAGATGAGACCAGCAAACTTCCAGCAAAATGACTGTGACTCTTAACTTTCATTGGCCAGAACTATATGACAATAAGATCTGAATCCTTTGGGCAACAACTGTGCCGTCACAATGTGAAAACATATTTTTCATGAGCTTCCCAGATGAGGGCGAGCTGCTGTGGATCATAAATGTGGCTGTTTGACTGTTAAACATGAGCTGGTGAAAATCGATTTGCGGGGCCTTTGTACTGGGAGAAACGGGCTTCCTAGTGGGCAGCTGGACCTCAAACATTCTCAGTGAGCATAAACTAAAACCGACTTCCACCACACCTCCTTTCTATTATACTGGCGGTGGATGCGGCTCCTTCAGTACAGCATCTGTTTGTCTGTGTGTGTGTGTGTGTGTGTGTGTGTGACATATATTGCCTTTTTACTAGTTGTCTCCTATAATACTTTTGAAAAGAAGACAAGCTTTTCCAAAGTGAAGACACTCAAACTCTTGATGCTGAAAATGCAGCATCTTCTGTGATTAGAGCAGAGCGAGGTTTCTGCGGATTTGGAATTAATGTCTCTGCAAAGCCCGCCATTACTCATTAAGAGTTTGATTTTGTTTATCAACTGAAATAATAATAGAAATCAAACCCCAGGTAACGTGTGCCAAGGCTGCTAGTGGAATGGTCTAATGAGAAGGCTTCACATGTGGATGATGAAATATGCATGAGTCATCCCAAGCTTTCTTTTCCAGATTTGAGATCATTAAAGATGTATCGTAGCATATGGAAGGCTTTTTTTGTCTTATTTTTCAAGCCTTGTTTATCAACATGTTTTTGTTTGTTTAAATATTCATACTGTTTTTATTTAATTCTTTCACATCTTACATATAAAAGGAAGCAAATGCGCATGCAAACAGAAATCATTATCAGTCTGATGTACAGTTTAATACTGAGAGAAACTCTCTTATGCTGATTGTGAATGCCCTGATTGAGAAACAGCACTTTGCAGATTCGGCACAGTCTCTCATCGCAAATGTGTGCCTGGTTTGTTTGTGTGTATGAGTTTGTGAGTGTGTGTGTGCTTGAAGGAGAGAGAAGAGTGAGAAAGAAGAAGGGAGGAAAAAAGAGAGAAAGTGTAAAGCAGAGGATTGAATTTTAGAGACTGCCTCAAGTCCAATATTTGTTATTTATGTTGGCATTCTTGCACTTTTTATGGATACTATGAATGTCAAATTGAAATGTATGTAACTGAGTAACACTTGCAGACAAAATATTTATCTATATTGAAGTCCAAGGTCTTCTTCCTCTTTTGGTTTTGGATAGACCTGAGTATAAGTTGAAGAGCGTAGCTTCCCCTTAAACTGACATTGTATTCACTTTTATAGCACATAAAATATAAGCCTGTCAAGTCAGGTTTTCCACTTAATAGAAAGTCTACCCCCTCTTGGAGGGTCTGTAGCCCTGCACTCATCTGAAACAATGTTCATGATGATGATAGCAGCGATGACAGTAGACGAAGGAGAGTTTGAACATGGCTCGTCATTTAATCAATGTCTTGCCTCGCTCTCTCTTCTTGTTCCTGCTCTGGCTATTCCAGGGTCCAAAGAGGTAAATGGCTCTACAGATAAACCCCAACCCTATTATTGTTGGCCAACAGGAGGTGCTGGATCTACTGAGGCACGAGTCTTCAGGGAAGCCCGAGGAAGGAACAACAACGAACCCCACATTAAGAGGCCAATGAATGCATTCATGGTGTGGGCCAAGGATGAGCGGCGCAAGATCCTCCAGGCCTTCCCTGACATGCACAATTCCAACATAAGCAAGATCTTGGGTAAGACCTTTTAAATCACGTCTCTGCAGTAAAGCTTTAGTAAAGCCACCTGTAAGGGCTTCACTGATTTAATATCACTGTGAAAAAAAATACTATCGCTTGTATCTGCACTTATGTCCCTGGCAAACAAAATTAAGAGAAATATGTTGTTTTTTTGCCACTAAGCGTATACGTTTTCTACATTTAGATATGGCTTTATTGCTCTCCAATAACTACAGTTGATCTGACAAAGTAGCTAGTACCTAGGGGAGGATGTGTTATCACATAGGCCACCGTGCATCGAGTCACCTCAGCATACAGATGGATTTATAGCCCATCACTACCATAAGTGTTTGTCATGAAAAATGACAGAGGCTAAATGGGTCTTGTCCCCTCAGCATTGGAGTCCATACATCAGAGCTGTTAAAAGTGCTGCCATCCAGTACCTAGTAGGACACTTCACAGAGCAGCAGTATTTACTACACTAGCTTGTTGTTCCATACTGTTTGACATCGAAGCATGTTTCTTGTTTAAAATAATGTGCATATGGAGAGCTATCAAGAGGTTGTGTGGGAGGGGTGATAAAACATGATTTTGCTAGGAAACGTCTACCCTTACTAAGGCTACATTCACACTGCAGAAATCACACTGGAATCTGATATGGGCCACATTTAAAAAACAATGTGAACAGCCAAACAAAAACAAAAAAAATCTGACCTGAGCAATAAATCAGAATTGAGTGCTGAGGCTTGCAGTGTGAACGTAGCCTAAGTGCAATTCAAGGTTATTGTAGCTTTTGACCCCATGTGGTAAAACCCATGTGGTGAAATCTGACATCGTACTGAATCTACTGTGTTGTCTAGGTTCTCGGTGGAAGTCCATGACTAACCAGGACAAGCAGCCATACTATGAGGAGCAGGCCCGTCTGAGTAAGCTCCACCTAGAGAAGTACCCAAACTACAAGTACAAGCCACGGCCTAAGAGGACCTGCATTATTGACGGAAAAAAACTCCGTATTGGAGAGTACAAGCAGATGATGCGCTCACGGCGACAAGAGATGAGGCAGTTCTTCACTGTGGGGTAGGTATGCAGTCACAAATTTTACAAACTAACCACACTAACACAGAGAGAATCATACCAACTGCATTGGAGCCTTTTGCCTCCTTAGAGCTTGTTCTCATACAATGTAAGCACCCATTCCAAAATTGAGCGTTCAGTCAACCTCTACTATATAGGTTTTAAGACAAGGGCCTGACATGCACATTAAAATCAATTGTTTTTTGATAGCCATGATTTAATAATTTTAGACAATAGCAGTCTGCAAATGGAGCATGAAGTGCAGACATTATTACAGGATATAAGCTGTGGGTATAGACTTACAGAAGCCTGGAGGGCAGCAGTCTGAAGCTTAACACTTCAATTTACTGTGTGTGGTTAGCAGGAGAACCCTTCTCCAGGTGTTCCCATGTCAGTCATAAGCTTCAGTGGCTGGAGTATCAATCATCCAGCGCAACAGCAGACAAGAGCAGCACTAACCACGTATTGGTTTTATGTCACCAATAAACTGGGTAGTGTTTCTGAACAGCTCAAGACGGGAGCTGTCAGGAGAACCTCTCTTTTCCCAAATCATTTTCACAGAGCTGCTGGCTTAAAGCGGACTGCTGTGGGAAACCCCTAATCCAACCATTTGAGTTTGAAAAATAAAAAAAATTATATATATATATGTATAGTTTTTTGAAGACTACTTTCAGCAGCACTCACTCTTTCAGCAACACTTTCGGCATTCTTTCCATCTGCTCTCACTTTTGAAGGTCAACTTTGTATCAAACATTAGAAAGAAGTGTGATTTATTTTAATTTTATTTCTTTCTCCCACATCCAGACAGCCACCACAGATTCCCATCACCACCAGCGCCAGCATGGTCTATCCTGGGGCCATCACCATGGCGACCACCACACCCTCACCTCAGATGACATCAGAGTGCTCGAGTGCCTCAGCCAGTCCTGAGCCATCCATTCCTGTCATTCAGAGCACCTACAACATGAAGCTAGAGCCCAGTACCATGGCAAACAACAGCGAGCCGGTCAATGGCGAGGACGAGATGGACATGTACGAGGATTTTGAGGATGAGCCCAAAACAGACTATAGTAGTGAAAATGACACACAAGAGCCAGTCAGCGCCAACTGAGACCTCCTTAATGGAAGAGGCCAATGCAGACACAACACTCATACAGGAGAATGGCCAGAGGGCTGGTCTGATCTGATCTGATCTGAGGGAGCGAGAGAGCAAAAGAAAACTACGCCACAAAGGTTTAAAAAGGTTTAAGAAAAAAAACAAAAAAGATGTATCATTTAGGAGCCTGCATGCAGATGTGGCTTCAACAGAATCAAAAGCTATTTGGTCTTAAGTGTTTCTTCAAGTGTGTGAAGCAGTTTGGTTGTGGTAATTTAGATTTCTTTTTCTTATCTCATTGTTTATTTTGTCATTGTGATCATGGACATTTTCACAATTAGGTCATTGCCTAGAACTAAAGACGGAACTTGAAATTGAATATTTGATATGAAACTATAATTCTTTCAGTCATTTAACTTGTTTTCCTCTTCAATTAGGTGATTTTGATATATTGCATAACTGTTCAAGATGGGAATAATATTCTCACTCAGGTATAGTGTGCCAGCCAACAGCTTGTGAATGTTTTTAATCAAGAATCAATTATTACCAGTACAAAATATCTAAAAATTCATATTGAGTGATTCCAACTTATAACAGAGGGAAATTACACATTATTATTATTATTATTATTATTATTATTATTGTTGTTTTTGTTATTGTTATTACACAAACTGCATCATTTAGTGCAGAAGTGCCAAACATTTCAAGTTGTTTCTAAAAATCTGTCTTTTGGGAGAGGCTTTGTGAGGACAATCTCTTGATCTCTTAATACAGCTTCATTATCCAGTCTTTCTTTAATTTACCCTAACAGAATAAACAAATGAAACTCAGGAACTTGGAGGCAGCAGGCTCTGCAGGAGGTTACAGTGTGTGACATCTTTGGGTGGTAGCTTGTGATGCTAGCTGTTCTCCAGGGAGCCCAATGCAGTGATCATCAATGAAATCGGCCAGCCCTTTCATTTCCTCATCCCAGTCCACACAGAGCACCGTGACATCCTTAACTCTTTTCCAGCTCTCCAGCCCAGCCTGACTCACCAAGTTCTTAATCAGAGTGATTGTAATCAGGCCAGAATGCTAAAGGGCCAAAGGCCTCCAATCTGTGGGATTGGAACAGCAGCGAAAGGCAGCTTTGGGGGCATTACAATCTCAAATTGATGTTGTACAATGTGTAGCTACAGTATGTTCAGTTAAACGCTTTGGCCCCATTTGGACGGCAAGTTTAAAGTCTTACGTCTTAGAACTTAATATTTTTTTCAATCTTAATTCTTTTTAGACATTGTAAATCTTAAATTGACACTAAGAAGTCTTAAAGCAGAGCACGGACATCGGGCTGATGCAATGAGTTGATTACTGCCGTAGTCTTAAGAGGAGTGACAGTGACAAGCATATTTATAAACTGAGAGGAAGGCTAAAATCATACGTTTGTTTCTTAAATTACCTCGTAATATACACATGACAAGGGTAACTTGTAACAGTGATTTTTGCATTAGTGCACTTATATAAATCTTATTTTGTTACCCTTGAGCCTTACGTATTTTTAATAATCTTAACAGCTTTTGGAATGCACTTAAGTCATGCATTTAAAACAGGATAACATGCAATGACTCAGAAACAAGGGGCACAAAGTCTCTATCCTAATTTCAGCAAAAAGCTGACAAGTGGTGACCTTCTGGAGACTGTAGCTAGATAAAGCAAGGCCCTGATGTTGAGACTCAGATCCTCTTTACAGGGCAGAAGGTCTAAGTGGCTCCCCTCCCTGCCATGCCCTGCTCTGACCCCTGCCTGTGGCAACCTCAGCACCCAGGGGGCGCCATCTGGCTCAGAGAAGGAGAAAACACCAGGGAGGGATGGGAAACAATAAAAACGGTGTGTGTGTCCCTCATTGTGCTCTCCATCAAAGTGCTGGTAGTAAGGCCTCAACAGGGCTCCCACCCTGGCCCAATCACCAGGCACTGGCGAGCAGATGGAACAAGTACATCAAGCTGTGGGGGATTATTAAAATGACTGACGACTGGGTATCATCTGAAATACAGCATTATTAATGCATGAGTCCAGCTATTCCCCTCCCTTGCCCTTGAACCTGTCCATTTCAGAAAGAGCACAGAGCTTTTTGAAGGATCTGAATGGCTGGTTACTGGCTTTAACTGGTCAAGATCCACCCACTGCTGGTCACTGCATTTTTCTCCTAGCTCTAATTGGTACAGATGGCTCTTTATATCTCTTAAGCACGCATTTCTTCTGTACTCTTATTGTCTTATTGTCAGTGCTGGCTTGCATTGTTCCTACTTTTTGGAAGCATTTATATTAAGTCTTGTAGGTTTTTTAACCACCCCATTAATAACTGCCATTTTATTTTTTTCCCATCTCATCTTTTCTACGTTGTTCTCGTTTTGAGGTACAAGATATTTTCAGGATGCTCTCCTACAAACAAACCCAAGTGGATTTCCCTCAAATTCAACCTGTTTGGTATTTTTAAGCTGTTTGCTCCTGTTTGCTGGTGGTTAGATTGATTTGTATGTGATTGTAAATATTTTCATGACCATGCCACACTGCTTTAGTTGGCTGGTAGTTAAAAAGGACTCTTCACGGAACTGAAACTTGACTGTGCTTATATAGCGAAAAAGACAAAAAAAAAGAAAGAAAAAAATGACAAGAACTCACGAGGAGACGATGTTTCATAAGTGTTATAAGCACTGGATATAAATTGTATTTTTATCAATTCTGATTAATGTGAAGCTGTTTGAGGAAAAACACCCTGAATGAACAAAATTCCCCAGTTGGACTCAAGTGGGTTTGCTCTCACAGTTGCCAGATTTGAGTCATTTTTTTTTGTCTACTTATTTTGTTTATTTATGCAAAGACACATATGATGAATGAACACTTTGTTTAAGCTTCAGGGCTGCCTAGGGGAGAGACTCAGCACAAGAAAGTGAGCAGAAAATTCAACAGCAGGCTCAGTTAGCCTTCAAACACCAGACTTCAGACTTCAGACTTCAGTGCATTGTATATTGTATTTGAAACTGTAGAGTATCAACATATTGTATTTATTATTAGCCACTGTTGGCTCTAAAATTGTCAGTAAGCCAACAACATGGACAATCAGAGAAATGGACAAAAAAAAGATGTTTGATGAATCGGAGCTAAAAAAACGGTTTTCAGTGAATTCACCATCTCATTTAGATTTTATTGTAAATATAACATAGGAAATATATTTTTGTTCATTAGTGAAGTATAAGTTATGTATTTGGCTGTTCTATTTTATTTTCTTTTTTCATGTTTTGTTTTTGTACATGGTTTCATGTTTTTAAAATCTGACAAGTCACTGTACCTCATGTAGATGCTGAGTTTTTCTGCTTTATTGGAAGAGAGCAGTATTGGACCTGAGACAAAGAGAAGCACCTCACTTGCTTATGTTTTGATAATCTTCCCTGGACTATTCAAAGAACCAATCAAAATAAAAGCTATACTCATTAGACTTGTTAACATAGGAGTCATTACAAGTAAGGTACTCATTTGAACAACAAGCACTTGATGTAAAAGAATTATTCAATAATTTGTTTCCAATCATGATACAATCTAAGTCATATGCTGTATATCGTCACTTGTATTTTGTGTTTATTACAACACCCACAGTATGTGGCAAATCTTTTATGAGGAGCTGATATCATCCTAAAGAAATCTGCATGCATTTGGCTTGCATTTACATTATCATAATTAACAAAGATGTTTTTTTCATGAATGATTGTTTTAGATTTTTGTTTTGAAAGGTGGGAGTGTGCAAATATTTATTTGTTTTAATGTGGCTAAATGCACAGACATTGTGCTTTCTTCTTAGTTAATTCTAATGAACGTGTTCATGACTATCCAGCCATCTGTAAATGTAGCCCTCACAATTGTTTTCTCTTAATTCACTTGTTAGACATGCAAATGGTTTGAATGAACAACTGAAGACAAAGGCTTCTATGCTGTTTCAACATTACTTACTGTAATTTCATATTTTTTTCTGTCTGAACTTTGTGATGTATATGGTGGGAATGTTCTCTGTGTTAATTTAATCAGCACAATTCACTGACATGCTGGACTGACATGCTAGCTGCTGTTCAGAAGTGTAAAATTTGTTGTTCAGGGCAACATTTATAGTTGTCTTTGGTACTTTGCTTTTTAGAGTTGTCTCTCAAGCAACACTGTGTGTGGCTCTTCTATCACTGGAGCCGTTGTTTTGAAATTGCTGGCAGCCTGATACAATTTTCTGCATAGAAATCTTTTGTTGTTTTCCTGGCAGGTACCTAGGCCCATGGCAAGTATTGTTTGGGTGTTATTAGAGAAAATGAAATACATAGTGTCTGTTGCTGCTTTAAAAAAAAGTTTATGTCTGAATATGTAAATAGTTTATCATAATATCTTGTACAGTCCAATGTAAAGTTTTTAATTCAACTTAAAAAAAAATGTTGCCATCACATTTGTGTTCACATTCTTCTTTATACAGTACAAAAGATCAATTATTTGCTAGGGGTATTATTGCTAAAAAGAAAAAAATGAAAATGTTACTAATTTTTTTTTTTTTATGTTTGTTTTGTTTTGCTTGGCTTCAAAGTGTACACCAGCAAGTCTTTGGTTTCCATGTGCAGTATTGACGTGAGGTAAATTTAAGGTGAATAATTTTACAGTGGTGTGTGTGGAGAGCAATCTCCTCGGCTTTGGTAGTATTAATACACTATATCAAGTAAAAACAAACCAATGAGTGACACATTTGGGTGCACCTAGGCACTATAGAAATGTGTATACTGTATATGATTAAATTATCCCCACAGGATCAATTCAGGCATATTATAATGTAACACCATTTTCTGTATGTCTCAGTCCATTGTAACAATGCAACAGTGGGATGAATAACTGCCTGTTTAAGCTCATTTACCTCAAGAATTTCCTCCTTTTCTGTAAAAGAGACAGAAATCGTGTTACAGAAAACTTCTCCCATCACTCCATCTTTTGTACTGCTGTTGACACTTACAAATTAAAGAGACATTTTGTTTTAAGAATTTGAGTAATTATTTTTGTTGGGGAGGCATTCATTGTAATATTTCCTTGTTTGGGTGTTGGTCTGCAGTGGAAGAAAACAAAAGGGTTGCAAAAGTATGGTGCTTGTTTTAGTTGGTTCTGAGATGTTACTCCGCTGTACCAATCCCATACATGGTACTGCGTGAGAATATGATATGCCTTTGTTGTACTTTCCTTCTCTTTTAGCTTTTCCCTAAAGACAGTGTGTCCTTAAACTTTCTAAACCCAACTATACCAAACTCACCAGCTAATAATTTACTGATGTTTATGCTCATTATTCTTAATGCCACTGACCTCACAAGGACCCAGACAATTAAGCTCAGGAAACATGTTACAAACATCAGACAGACAAACAGCTTAATTGTTTTTTTATAAATGTATTTATTTAGAAAGAAACATTAAGGAAGTAAAAATAAAAAGACTTAAAAGATACTACTGCTCAATATTTGACATCCTTAATATTTCTTTACAATTTCAACTAAGTGTAAATTAATTACTGTACTATTACATTAAAAAACATGATTGATGTTTTATAATGTTTTATAATATTACAGTAGGCTATTCATATATGTACAGGTCAGTAATGCCCATAACTATAAAATATCTATAATAGTCTACAAGAACACAACAAGTGAAACTGAACATTAAATGATTTACTTTAGCATTCATTTAGAAGATTTAAAGTACATTTTTATACTGTACCATAATATCCAGTTATCATTGTGCAATGTTTGCTGAAAGGATTATACAAACTTAAATTAAACTAGTTCTAAATGGAAAGTTGTTGCTTCTGTCATTAATTCCCTTTGACCTGTTAATGATGTCATTGCGGCGAGATGGAGACCACCTGGACGAGGCTTTTTGTGCCATGTTTCCAAGGGGTGATGTTTCACATTTTACAGCACACTGAGCCATGTCTATAATGAATAGACCGATTTTACTTTAACATTCGTGAAACAAAACTTAACATATTTGATTTGAAAAGGTTGATTTTGTCATAATATAATTGTACATTGCACTTATGATTTCATCACACACAAAAGTAGCCTGAATGCAAACTGTCATCTGGTAATCTGCTGTATCCTGATTTTTCTGCAAAATTTTTACCTGTCAGTACATGACTTATAGGGACACAAATATTTGTAACATTATTTCCATTTATTAAGCATACTGCTGGCATATCAACAACTTAAAGCCAGTTTATACTTTCTTGCAACCGAGTGACTGTGAGGGTTCGCAAGGGTCAGCGTGACTTAAAATTTGTCATCTCTCCTAGTCCACAAGTTGCCCAAAGTTTATGACTGCATAGACCATATGTGCCAACAAACACGTCCGTGTATGCAGACTTCCGATGTAGTATAAACAGAACCATGTGCTTGTCTGCTGTCCGTGTATGTTTTTGGACTATATCCACCCCTTAACCAATGTTCTCTGTATTACTGTAGCCAGCTGTAGCAGCCTAGTTTACTTCAGCCATTCACTTTCCATTTCTGACATCAAAGGATGTCAAGGAACTAGTGGTCGATTTGGACTTACATTAGATTTTGTCTCACTATTTGAACCTATAGGCGAATGGCTCAGCTTCAGTAGTTATTGACCCTGGCATTAAGACAAAAATTGCAAAATCAAGGGGCCTCCTGCTTCAGCTAGCAAAATGATGAAATTCATGATTTTGGGGGCTTATCAGAGGCCAAAACACTACACAGTGGTTTATAATACAATGAGAAATAATTTTAAATCTGTGGAGAATTAACACAGCGAAAATAATGTATCTCAACAACCAGTACAGTGAATAGTAAACAGTAGAATTATGCCATTCAAATCAAGTAACTTCTAATGACTAACCCGACCAGCTAGCAGCCTTCCCATCAATTAGCAGCTTGCCTAACTGGCGGCAGCTGCATTGCTAACTGGGACAAAGGAAACAAGTAGATAGTGCAGAGGGAGCACTAGTGTGTGTGTGTGTGTGTGTGTGTGTGTGTGTGTGTGTGTGTGTGTGTGACAAAGGTTGGCTTGAAACTTTCTTTAAAGATGAACAGAAAGAAACAACCTCTGCCAGCATGAACGGAAATATGCTGGTGGGAAACCAGGTGTTGTAACCTGACGGTGTAGTGTACAGAGAAAATATAATGCATCTTTATTGAATTGATGTATTGAGAATATTAACGGTAGCTACTCAAATTAAGTTGAGTAGTTCTATATTGAAAAGGAACCTGCCATGTGCAGCTGTCAAGTGAGCAGAAACACTTTATGTGGACTTAAAAAATGTACTTTTTTGATGTGTCCAGTATAACACCAGGTACAACGCATCGTGGATGGATACATATGACACACAGCACAGAAAAATAAAAAGCAAAACATTGGAAGATGGCACAGCAATAGTTTTCTGAAAATCCCCTTGATAGCACCTTCAGATAGAACATGCAGCTTAGCAGATTCAACCCAAAAGGGACACTTACTCAGCAGCCGATCACTGTGGTTTGGTTTTAAGAACATCTGCACATGCGCACGTCCTATGGATCCTTGACCTCCTGCAAGCAGACATTCAGAGGTAAAGGCTCAATGTGTGTGTGTGTGTGTGTGTGTGTGTGTGTGTGTGTGTGTGTGTGTGTGTGTGTGCGCGCGCTAGAGGTCATCTTGAGGGTTATAAGCCCAGACTTGTCCATCATTCTTCTCTGGATCTCTGCCATATATTGCTCATTATCATCATAATTATTATGAGTTCTATGCCCTGCTTCCTTTTTAAATAATGCCTTTCTTGATGAAAGGGGTAAAACATTTCAAATAAAATTTGTGTAAGTGTCTTCAAGATCTGTGTTAGCTGTACTTCTACAGAAAAGGGAATCAATAAAAAACAAAGAGTCTCTGGAACTGAAGTATTTTAACCATTTGGGGAAACGGTTTCATTTGTTGTCCTCATCAATCACTTAGTCTTTTACCATTGTACTGTATGCTGCCCTCCCAAGAGCATATGAAAGCTACAGTTTAACTGCAGTGTCTGTAATAGATGTCTGTGTAAGCACTCTCCAGCAGTAGATGGAAAACTAGACATATACCTCGGCACAATAAATCTTATAGTAATTTTCCAAGCCTGCATGACAACTAATGGCATGGAGAAAAGCTCTGTGCTTTGTGTATTTGTCTATGCATTATTGTGCAAGTGAGTGCATGAAATTATAACACTGCTGAGACTGTGGTATGTGAGACATTTTTTCATCTTCTTTGAGCTGTTTTTGCTTTGAATTGTACCTATTTCTGTATTTCTGTGTGGACCAAATAAGAAGTCGGGGTGAATAATTGTGGGCTTGGTGAGCTATGGGGAGTAATACTGCTGTTTGTAAGTGGCCTGTTTGAATGAACTGTCACTGGGGTACAAAGATGTGTATGTTTGAACAGCGGATAATAATTAATACAGCAATGCTGTCGTGTAGCGGCAGGGCTGCTATTTCACAACTCTGATGACTAAACACCGGTGGGAAGGGGACCAGTGAGGGGCGCCTGGAACAATATTTTACTCATTTGGATCTGCTCAATGCTACAGCCGTTGCACCCAGTGAATCTGTCAGACAGCACCATTTCCCCAAGAACAGCTGCTATTTATCTGATTTTCTCATTAGAGTTGACTCATGACTTCATTGTACCGGCTTTGGCAGAAGTACTGCAGAGCCTAGGTATGGCTCTTTCAAACAGCTGAGACTTGGTCTCCCTGATGTTACTGGATGAAGGAACTTGTAACACCTGTCTATGTTCTCTTTTTCTGATTTTCACTTCAATTTATATTAAATATCTTTTTATTCGTATCCGTGTCCATGCTCGTAGAAACACCTCTCAACCAGATGTTTACTATTCTTTACACACATACAGCTTACAGCTTATTTCAATCTATTTCTAGCGTAGGTGAAAGAAAGGAATTTTGGACTGATCTCAAGAGGCATCAAACATGTATACAAGAACAGTATGTAAGAACAGCCTAGACCCTTAGCAATGTTTTAATCCTTGGAGGTGAAGGACTTAGGAAATCTTGCTAATTTCACAGATGGTTTAAAATAGATTAGTGTGGAGTAGCAGCTCCCGGAGAAGGGCTGACCCACCAGGCTCCCTGTGCAGCTGCCAAAACCCTGCGCCTGATGCTCAGAAGTGCCTTCCAAAAGTCCTGCAAGGTTAAACTCAAACTTAAGCATCCCGAAATGCCATCCTTGTTGTTAGCTTTACTGCATCTTGAATGAAGTTCACCTTTCTTTTGTTCTTGTCTTGAATAGTTAATTTGGCGTTAATCTTCAGTGAATATTTTTATTCCTTGCTATTTTGGAAGGCCCTCTCCAAATTTAGTTTTCTGGTTAAAAGCCATTGTTCTTTGCCTTTTCGCATGTTTGTTTTTCAGTTCAAATCAGAAGTCCTTGTTTAGTTCATTGTCACATTTTTTTACCTTGAAATTTTGACTTTCTTACTTCCTGTTCTTGGGTAAAACAATACACTGGAGCACAAAGGATTTTTACTTTGAAATGGATGTGTCCACTTGGCCACAGAGACCGTTCTTACTTGTTACTTTATGTTCTTTTTCATTAGACGTTTTGCACAATGCATCCAAGAGCCAATTTTTTGTAATGGAATAAAGGAGTGAATCAGACTCTGCATGGTATTTTGAAGAGGCCAAGCCTGCTGCTTGAGCTGGGCTGTGTCCGAGGAGGCCTGACAAAACTCTGGCCTGGCTGAAAAGGCCCAGCTTGGAGTTAATGTGGAAAGACAATGGCACAGGGTGAAAAACTCGACATGGTTTTGTTGGACTTGTCATTCTTTGGTGCATAGCTGTGAGGAAAGCCTAGGAACCATCTGAATGTTATTTGTGCTTTTTTGACCCATATTTAGGACAGCTTTCACAAAGCCCTTGTGAGAAGGTTGAAACAATGGAGAGGCGCTTTCAGAAGAGGGACAGGCATTGACTCTGGCCAAACCATCTTGGACCTGTTTCACTGAAATGGTT